AGGCAGGTGCTATTAGTATCCCCATTTTACAGTTGAGAAAACTGAGGCAAACAGAAGCTAAGTGACATGTCTAGGGTCACACAGGTATCTGAGGTGAGATCTGAATTCAGATCTTCCTTATTCCAGGCCCAGGCCTCTCTGCACTTCACTACCTGTCACGTCACTGACTTCTCTGAGTCCCTGTATTGTCTTTACTTATTTATATATCATTAAGGGCAGAACTATTTAATTTTTTTCTTGCTATTTAGCACAGTGCTTTGCATATACTGCTATTGAATTTGTCTTTATCATGATTGGTGAGGAGAAAAGGGGCAGAAAACACACCCCAAATCTGAACACAGTAGAAAGGAAACCAAATGAGAGATCCAGCATCTCACAGACTCACAGAAAGTTAGAAAAAGGAATGTTAGAAATGGAAAAGATCATACATAAAGCCATTCTCATCTAACCCCTTTATTTGATAAAGGAAGAAACTAAGGCCCAGAAGGAAGTGACATAGTGAGTGAACAAATGAGTGAGCTGCCCTAGAACCAGGATCTCCTTATTACTCCATTATTCTCTCTATGACATCTAGGATTCTTAACTGAAAGACCATGAACTTGTTTGTATATGTGTGTGTGTGTACATGTGTGTATAAGTATACATGGATGGATGTATATGTGTATATATGCATGTATACACATCCACACACACATACATGTTTTACATATATATTGTATATATGTACATATGTATTCTGATAACTATATTTTTTAAAGCATGGTTTCCTTTGTAATCCTATGTATTTTATTTTACGTATTTAAAAACATTATTCTCAGACAAGGTCCATCAAGCCACCAGAGGGGCCCCCACAGACACAAAAGATTGAGAACCCCATACTACACAGATGCTGGATCTTTTTTGTTAAATTTTAGTCAATTTAAATTTTTTTATTTTTGTTTTTTACCATGCTGTTGTCCAGTTCTTAACTCTTTTTCCTTGAACTTTTCTCCATTGTATTTCTAATTAGATTTCTCTAGTGATTATTACCTCTCTTCAGTTCTGAAAAATTTCTGAACATCACTGTTCCTTCATCTTACTCAGCTTCCCTCAGGGCCTAGCATACCTTTCCAGGCTTCAGCTACCTTTCTAGGTAATCTCTGTAAATTTTATGTGGGGAAAAAATAACCAAATAACTTAAATAACCAACTTTTTCTTATCATGTCTAATAATCATTAGGATATCTTCAGAGCTGCCGTCTTTTGTCTGAAATTTCTGAGAACTGGGAAAAATCGTTGAAGGACATGGGACTTAGAGTCAGGAGTCCTAGCTTTGAGTCCTTGCTCCCAAGGTTTCAAAACTGATGAAGTCTGTAACTATAGGCAACCTACGAGACATTTCTGAGCTTCATTTTCTTCACCTGAACCACAGAAATTCATAAAGTGTGCCCTGTCTTTTTGTGACATGTGTGACAGAAAAATAGCAATAATAGTACTACTTATCACAAAGAATTTTGTTGGGGGGAATGCTTTGTAAAATGTTAAGAACTCTATAAATGTGGGTTATTACTAGTTGGCTGAAAATTATGGGACTAACACATAAGATGGATGGATCTACCATTGTCAGAATCTGCCAAAATCATAATATTTAGAACTGGAAAGAATCTTAGAACTCATCTAGTGCACAAGCTCCCTTCCTCCCCCACCCCATTTTTCACGGGTAAAAACTAAGACCTGGAAAAGTGAAATAAAAGGCTTGCCCAAAAAATTATATGCGTGCTAGTTGGTGGCAGAGCTGGCACTAGAAGTTTAGTCTTCTTACTCCAAATATAGAGCTCATTCTATCCTGTATTCACTACAATTAGGGTCTGGGTCCAATCATCAATGATCTTCATTAATGAGTTACACTGGTATTGTCCCTTGTCCTCTCTCTTTCTCCAGGCAGCCAAGCGAGGGGGAAGATTTGGTTATAGGGCTGAAATGATTTGGCAGGATTTTTGACCCTGGCCTGGTTAGAGAGATTTTAAATATTTGTGTGGGCTGCTTAGCAACCAGGGTCACATGATACTGACTGAAACAATGAGCTCTCATAGAATTTACATTTTTTTTTCTTAACAGCCTGTTAATGGCCATTGCTCAATGGGGGTTTTGTCTAAAGAAACACCCTGCACAAAACATGTCATTTTGTATATTGTTTCGGGATCCTGAACTTTTCTTCAAAACAAAAATGTCAGGGTTCAGCGAGAGGAGAATTTGAATCAGGTTGTGCCTAAAGGGAATCAGTAGACTCCGGGGGATCAAAGCTGATGCCTCAGAGCCTGTTTACAAGCTGAGGGCCATTAGAATTTCAGAAAGAAATGTTTTCTCACAATCTCATTTGCCAAAGGAAGCATTGTGATTGCTAATAAATTCATTGTTTTGATAAAAATTTTCAAACTGTTATAGGGAAAGATTTCCTGGCTGAGGCCACAAGTTCACTGTGGGAAACTCCCTCCCCCTACCTCAAAGCTCTAGAATTCTCTTCACAGGGACTTGAACCTAAATGCTAAATAAAATCTGATACAAGCACACTTGGCAACTGAGTCATGAGTCCAATTCCAATATTCCTTTTCTTTAATGAACTAGGAAACAATGCAATTTAATGAACATTTATTTATTGTCTTCTTTGTAAATCACTATGCTAGGGGAAGGAAATAAGAGAAGCCATGTAGTTTAGGTAAGACATTATCTCTGCCCTCGTAATGCTTATATTCTCTTAAGGGATTACGACAAATAGAAAATAATACAAAATGTGACCATCAGGGGATGCTGATACACACACCCATATGTAGTACACACACTTGCCACCAGAGGGCACTCAGGGATATCAGCCAAATTCTGGTACCATTCTTAAGCTCTCAGAGTAGCTGTCACTCATTCCTTGGATCTACTCCTTCATGGGTAATATTTACATTATTTTCTGGAGTTGTATCCGCATAGCCTAATCCAATATCAAATTTTAAGCTCCCATCTCACTAGCTCTTCTCATTCCTTCTTTAACCACTGTATTTCATGTAAGATAATTTACAAGTAGTATCTGGTGTGATATCTAAGGTGCCTACAGTTTTAATCACCAATCTCCAGATATCTTCCTCTCCTGCTTTCAGCTACACGCATTTAATTTTATTTCAGTCCTTTAATACCATGTAAATCTTAGGGGGTTCTCCCAAAGAGACACAAACTCTTTGGCTATTAAAGTCCTGCCAAATCAACTACAGAGTGGGAGGATATGCTACCATTTCCCCAGCATTTCTATTCCTGTGGTTTGTCACCCTACCGCTCTGAAGAGATGACCAAGAAAAACTTGGGTGAGGGAACCGACCCACCAGACAGTACTGAAACCCGGTTCCTTCCTAATCTGAATCATCTTCAATGATGCCAGTTACCTAGCTCTTATAGATTCTTTGCAAACGGGACTCAAGCTCATCTACCCTAAGCCCTCTTTGCTGTGTTTCCATTATCCTTTTCCTTTGTCTTCCTGTGGACTCTAAAACTCAAAGAAAAATAATTCCAGTGAGGAAGAAAAACAGGGTTTCTATAAAGAGACTGAAGTGTGTGCACAGGGGACTCACTAGACAACTGGTGCGTAGAAGGCACTTAACAAATATTTATTGACTAACTAGACTGCTGGCTTAACTGGAAAAAAAAAAAGATGAAACCAAAAAGGTCTAACTTTGGTAACTGTGCAGAGCCCAAGGAATGAAAAGACTATTTAACACCATTGCCTAAAAGGTCCTTAAGATAATTGCTGATATCTTCTGTCCCAGACAAAGCAATTTTTCAAGACTGCTCCCATAAATGTGTGGGAGTCATTGAGGTTGATTCTTTGTGTTGTTCTCATTTTGCTTCTGGAGTGAGAACTTGCCCATCCTCTTATCATGTTTCTTACTCATATGATCCTTTCATTCCTTGAGCTCTGAAAGGTCACCAAAGTTAGAATTCTTTGTATTTATCTTTTTTTTTTTAGTTAAGTCAGTAGTCTAGTTAAGTTAGTCAGTCAATTAACATCTGTTAAGTGCTTACTTTGTGTCAAGGCATCATGCTAAGCTCTGGAACAGGTTCCCAAACCTATTTGGCCTACCACCCTCTTTTAAAAAAAAAATCCTCAGAACCCCCCCTGGAAATTTACTTTCTTTGACCCTTTAATTTTTTTAAATTTATGTCATTTCAAAAAAATACTACCCCCCCTGGATCATCCCAGCACCCCTCAGGGGATGGTATCACTCACTTTGGGAACCTATTTAGGAGATAGAAAAAGCAGCAAAAGAGAGTCTCTGCCTTCAAGGAGTTAATGATCTAATGGGGAAGGACAACAAGCAAATATGTACAAATAAGCCATATATAGGATAAATATGAAATAATGAAAAGAGGGAAGGCACTGAAATTAAGAGGGGTTGGGAAGGGCTTGATGTAGAAGTTGAGATTTAAAAAGAAGATGGGAGGGAGGGGCAACTAAGTGGTGCAGTGGATAAAGCTCAGGTCCTGATGTCAGAAAGACCTGAATTCAAATCTGCCCTCAGACACTTACTAGCTGTGTGACCCTGGGCAAGTCACTTAACCCTGATTCTCTTCCCTCTCTTCCCCAAATAAGCTAAGGATCTAAAAAAATTCTTAAATGAAATTTATTGAAGCTTTTAAAGAATCATTACATTTCTACATACACTTCCTCCATTACAGGAAGGGCACAGACCAACCATCCTTCATTCTCTGGCTTTCACTGCCATTCCTCAGCTACCTTCTCCCTCAGCCCCTTTGGGGCCCTTCTTTCATTGGTGAGTTAAATCTCGACCCTCCATTTTGAAGAAAGGCCTCAACCAGCCATCCTTCAGTCATCCTCCATTCTCCAAAACTCACTTCTTCCTCCTTTTCCCTGACCCCCACTTTTCAGCTCCCTTTTATAAATTCTTTCCCCCATTAGAATGTAAATTCCTTGTTTTAACACAGTGCAAGATGTAGTAAGTACAAAATAAAATGCTTACTCACTTGACTTGACCTCTTTCTTACCATTGCCAGAATTGAAATTTTACTTGTAATAAAGTGCAATGGAGAGTCTATATGGGAGGTTATAACCCATGGAAGATGCATGGAAATGGGCCTGTAGGGGCCCTCCCGTTCAACTTGTGCTGGAGCTCCTTTGGAAACTTCTGGGAACCCTCGGGATATATATGATTCAAATACAAAGGGCTTGTACTTTGAGGTTAATGAAATAAACTGATTAACCACTGAGAAGGAGAACAGTTGAATAAGTAGATCTTTAAAAGAAAATGACCCACCCTCTGCCATTCTCCTCTCTTATAGGCTGCAGATCATGTTAGAACTTCATAAGCCTCTCCCATTGGGAGATGCAGGGAGGGAAAGTGCCCTTTTCCCCACTTTGAATACATGGCAATTGCTCCCATGTGGAAGTTAAAGAAAGTGCTTGGCTAAGCAAGCTTGGGGTGCCTGGATATTTCTTCCAGATCCAAAGTGTCCATACCCTTTGACCCAGAGATTCTGCTAAGCACTGAAACCAAACATTCATAACAGCACTTTTTGCTGTAGGAAAGAACTGGGGGGGGGGGGGAGGAATGGCTAGACAAATTTTGGGACAAGAATATAATAGAATATCATTTTTCAGTAAGAAACAATGAGTAGAGAGAAGCGTGAAAAGACTTGTATAACTTGTGACAAAGGAAAGTAAGCAGAACTAGGAAAGCAATATATACAATGAAAACAACAATGTAAATGGAAGGAACAGCAAATAATTGAAATTGAATACTGCAAAAGTATAATGACCAAGCTTGGCACAAAGCAGAGGTATGAAAAGATAGCTCCCCCAACTTATTTGAAAATGTGAAGGACCATGGGTGTGTAACACTGCATATAACATCAGAGTTTTTTGATGTTAGTGTTGAACTTTTTTTTCTTCCTTTTAATTCTTTATTATAAAAGATGACTCTTTGAGAGGAAAAAAGGAGAGGCATACAATGGGGAAAGTAGGTGATATAAAAAGAAAGATATCATTAAAATGTATTTTCAAAAGAAATGAATGAGATATTAAAGGGGAGGGGGAAAAGGACTCTGATAAAAATAACCAGACAATTCTTTAGTCATATCGACAGGGTATGAGTCACTACCCCACTAACAAAAGCCAAGGCAGAATGCACCCACACATTTCTCTTCCTATCAAAATTACGTTGAATCATTATGATGAAAATGGGCAAATTTTATTTACCCTTTTAAATATGAAAGCCTCTAATATTTATCAGTAACAAATAATGCTGACTCAGTTTCAAATAAATATGCTTTCTAATTGTATTAGAGAAAAATCTTTCCATTCCTGTGCTTTTTAATATTTTCAATATGAATGGCTTACATCTTATCAATAGATTTTCCTACAGAAATGAATATAATCATATGGCATTTATGTAGTTTATCATTAGAGTGATTCATTATGCTATCTCCCTAATATCAAACAATCTTTCCATTCCTCATGTGTTTCATATGATCATAATATTTTTCTATATTATTGAATTGCATTTGTAAGATTTTTGCATTAACATCCTTTAGTGATAATTTGTCTGTGGTTATCTATCCCTAACTTATTTTTTATCAGTTGAGGAGTGTGGTGTCAGAGCCATATTTGCCTCATTAAAAGTGATGAGTAAATGCTATCTTTCTCTATTGTTGAAATTTTATATAATAAAGAAATTATTTGTTCCTTAAATATCTAAAAAATTCACTTATAAATACATCTGATCCTGATATATTTTTACATGGCAATTCATAAATAACTTATTCAATTTCTCTTAGTAATGATTTGTTACCTCTTTCCTGTTTCGTCAATTTTGAAATTCTACATTTTTATAACTATCAATCTATTCTTTTAAATTTGAAATTATAACAACATATGTGCAATAAATGAATTTCTGGAGATTCCTCAGGCTTAAAAAAACTCAGTTGCAACAGATCCTCAAATAACATGGTCCCAAGTCCCTGCACTTTCCTGTTGTCATCCTCCAAAAGCTCTTTGGCTTATCAATGTCCTTAAACTGTGGTGCTCAGAACTAAACACAATGATGGGAGGGTATCTTCCTGGGGCAGTGTATAGAGGAACTGTCATCTCCTTATCCCTAGGAGCTGCGCCTGCCTTAATGTGGCCCAAGATTGCATTGAATTGTGCGGTTGCTGCCTCACCCCACTCCTTCATATTGAGATTGCTGCCCACTAATATTTCCAAATTTTTTCCAGAAAAAAACTACAATCTAACTATGCTTTCCCCACTCATGAAGCTAATTTCTTCCCTCCTCTTTAAGTTAAATTTGTTATTGTTTTATCAATTTGATCTTTAAAAAACTTTCATTTATTAATTCTATTATTCTTGGATTTTCTATTTTATTAGTTTATCCTTTATGGAAATGTTTTGTTCTTTTATTTCATAAATTTGTTCACTTTCTAAATTCTAAATAAACTAAATTCACATTTTCTTTGTAATAAACATTTAAAGACATACATTAGCCACTGAGTAATGCTTCAATTGTATCACACAACATTTGATACAATGTATTTCTTTTGTCCTTATTTCTGTAAAAGGCATGGCTGAGATAGGAAACAACCACATTTTCCAGGATGTCTGGGCCCAGAGCACAAATGCTTGTTGGAAGGCAACAAGGTCTTCGTTTCCCATAGGCCATGTGTCCATGACACAACTGTTTGTTGGTAAAAAGGGTATTTCTTGGAAGCTGAGGAAATTAATGGTGAACTCTGCTAGGTGTATAGCCATGTGTCATGCAGAGTAGTGTCTGGAGTCAGCCAAACTAGGTGCTTTGTGTAGACAATATGATTTGAATCCATGTGGAGAGAGAGATGATTTATCATTGAAAATCTCCCCAGGTTTTGGACCCAAATCTGAAAAGGTATATAGTTGGTTAGATATCATCTTTAATATAATTTGATCTATTACCTAACCATTATTCAATAAATCACAATTTATTTATTATCCATAGAGGGCTTAATTACAAATCATTTTTCACTTCTAATTTTTTTTTGCTTTCCTTTATATCCTCAGTACTTGGCACAGTGCCTGGCACATAGTAAGCACTTACTAATTACTGAATGACTAATTAATCATTCTGTAACATTTTGATCTATAAATGTAGCATTTAAAATATCTTCCTTTCTACATGTATTTATGACTTCTTTGTATGCCATAAGAGGCATCCTGATGGTTAGAAAACTGACCTCAGTGTCAAAAAGACCTGGGTATAGTACTGCCTCATATACATGGATGGCGGTATGACCCTGGGGCAAGTCACTTATTCAGTGCTCTAAACAACTCTCAAAGACTAGAAGTAGCAGAGTAGGTGCTGATGAGAATTGACAAAAGGAGTAGTATATTTCATTTGGGAGTTCACCTATTAAACAGTGACATTAAAAGTTCAGTTCATATCTTCTTCCCCTTGTTTACAAGAAGACCATCAATGTTTCAGGAATGCTCCATGTATTTATAAAAGTAAAAAAGCTTAGTTTTTCTCCTCCCATTCAGTTCTCTCCAGGTATCTATCATATCCAGTTTTGTCTTCTTCTAGCTCTGCCATTTGAAGAAGATAACATTATTCTGTTGCTGCTTCCTTCCCTTTTTTTGCTTTCCCCCCCCTTCTTTTACTTCTTTGATGATGCTGATGATCAGTTTATTCCTTTACTCTCTTCTTTGTCTCTCCTTTCTAGTTTCCCCACCCCACTCATGTATTTGTATGATTCATTTGTAAATCAAAATAGTCCTGTCATTATTTTCCTATAGATGTAAAACCACCTTAGGAACCATGGAAATCCATGCTGAGGAAGCAGAAGGTCAACAAATTACATATATGAGCCAAAAGAAACACCAGTGAAATAATCCCCATGATATTTGCTCAAGATGTGAAGCAGTACTAAAAAGGCTTCATTTTGCCAAGCAGAACCTGATCCAGAACAGTGGAAGGGAGTAGGGAACAGAGAAAAGGAATACAGCCTTGCAGTCACCATCATGAGACTGCTATACTCAGCTCTTGTATATCATATTTCAAGAAATCATAACAGAAAATACCTTAGAACTATTTAAATCAGAGAGCAAAATGACAGAAAGATTCACTAGGTCAACACCTGAAAAAAATCCCAAAAGTTAAACCTCCAATGCTTCCCATTTTAAAAAAGAAAAAGTTCTGCAAGAAGCCAAGAAGAGAGTAATCAAGGCCCAAGAAACCACAGTCAATATAACAAAAGATTAGGCAGCAAACACAATTTAAGAAAGGTTGGCATGCAAAATACCTAAAGGCAAAAGAAAAAGAACTACAACCAAGCATAGTACCTTAGAATAACTTAACTAATAACTAATGCATAAAGAACTCATGAACGAATGCAAAAAATTAGAAATACAAACCACATACTTTACCAATCACATGGAAAAATATGATCAAACATAATCTGAAGAAAGAATTCAGACTTAAATGGAAAATAAATAATCCAGGTATAAAATGAGTAGACAAAAGAAGAAATGATAGATATGGCAAATAATTTTCTCAAATAAAATGATGAGGTAATATTCTTTGATGGTTGAATAGATATTCTTGCTTTACTCCTGATCCTACTGAAAATACTTTTAGAACATTTTAAAAAATCAAATTAGCTTTGGTTTTTGTGCTTTATTAGTTAAAAAATGTTTTTCCCATGCTTCTCTGAATTCTTTTTCATGCTCATCTTTTTATGACCCAGTAATATTCCATTACATTCATATATTATAATTTGTTTAGTCATTCCTCACTAAATAGGCCTCTGTTTTGCTTCCATTTCTTTGCTACCACAACAAAGTGCTGCTATGAATATTTTGGTATATGTGACTTGTGCATTTGTCTTTGCCCTCCTTGGTATTAATGCCTAAAAGTGAGATCACTAAGACAAGGGGTATTGACATTTTAGTCATTTTCTTAGCATAATTTCAAGTTTCCAGAGTGGCTAGACCAATTCACAGCTTACCAAAGTACATTTTTCATACTTTGGTGATGCAGACAAATCCTTCTTTATTTAAAAAAAAAAATTATATTTTTAAACACTCTCATTTATAAAAGAAATAAGATGATTTAATTGTACAGGCAAAAAATCCCTAGAAGTCAACAAATTTAAATACTCAAAGAAATATAAAAATTGGTATTCTGAAGTCAAAGAAGAGATAATCAAAATCATAGAATTGGAGTGTTGGGATTTCAGTGCGCATTTAGTCCAACCAACACACAAAGGGAATCTTCACTCTGATATACCTCACAAGTGACTGTCCAGATTCTGTTTCAAGACCTCCAAGGCATGGAAACCCACCACCTTAAAAGACAAGCCATTCTACTTTGGATAGCTCTAAATGTTAGAATGCCCCCCTCCCCAAAAAAAATTAAGCATAAATTTGCTTGTTTGCCATTTCTACTCATTGTTTCTAGGTCGGCCTTATGGAGCCAACAAGAATAAAGTTAGTCTTTTGTTCATATTACAAACCTTCAAGTACTTGAGCATGGTCATCGTGTTTCTCCTCTGTCTTCTTTTCCCTAAACGAAATGCCCTCAACTCCTTCACCCAATCTTTAAATGTCATAAACTCAAGGCCTTTCACCATTTTGGTTATTCTCCTTAGATACTCTCTAGCTTAGCAATGTCCTTCTCACACTGGATCGAGGCCTGTTTCATAGTATCCCTATGTTGGCTGCATGCTTTTAGAGAAGCCAAACCAAGAGATCCCAGCAGAAGAGAAAATGGGCAAGGCTCTGGTTGCTAGTGCCTTTTGAAAGTACCCCTAGTTCAAGCTAAGCCGCCAAAGCTTTGGCTGACCACAGAAATTAGCAGAATAGAACTAGAAGCAGCATGTCTTCTTCCAAGTCTCTCCATTACACGTGGCCAGAACTCTCTCTGAAGCAGGCTCCCTACCTCTTCCACGTGGGGAGATTTCTCCAGAGATTCTCCGCTCATCTCCCAGTCCTTATTACACTTGTCCTCATATTGGAATCAGCAAATAACTGGGAGTGTGTTTTGGACACATTATTACAAAGATAATCATTTGGTGATATGGAAGAGACATTAGGAAGTGACTGATATTTTCAAAAAAGAAAATCAATGAAACTTTTTTTTTCAAAAAGAGAGAAGAAATGAGAAGTCACCAAAACATGTATTTGTTCTTCGAATCATTGAGGGATCCTCTGACACAAAGATTACATCACTATTAATAACTTAAATTTCTACAAAAGATTTACAAAGTGTTTTCATCTTTCTCTTCTCCCCTCCAATCCTTCTTTACCATTAACATAGGGCACCCAGGGAGAGAAAGTAAAAAATATGTGGCCTCTTCCTGAAAGTGGAGAGTAATAGAGAAAAGGAAGGCTAACTTTTTGCTTAGTAAATGTCCCGGTGTCTAATCAGTAACAGATGAGCCCATCAAACTAGTAAACAAATAAAGACTCTCCCTCTAAGTCTATATGCATGACTGCCCAAGAACAGAGGTCAGGCAGGCTTTTCATTCCTTCTGTTCCAAATTGTCACTAAAACTATCTCACAGAAGACAGCTGTAGGTGGGTAGTAAAGACACAGGACTAGGAATCAGAAGACCCGGATCTTAGTTTCAGATCTTACATAGACCTGATTATCTGTGAGATCTCAGGCAAGTCACTTCCTCTTTCAACAATTGAAGCAACAGCCAATCACTTAAAATAATTGGAATACCACCAGAATTCAAAGGGTTATAGTTAGTCAATCAATAAACATTTATTAAGTGCTGACTATGTGGCAGGCACTGTTCTAAGTGCTGGCGATACAAACAAAGACAAAAGACAGTCCCTGCTCTCAAGGAGCTCACAATCTAATGGGGGGAGATCGCATGCAAATAACTACATAAGAACAAGTTACATACAGGATAAAGTGGAAATAATCAGCAGTAAGAAGACATTAGAATCAAGAGATATTGGGAAAGGCCTCCTATAGAAGGTGGGGGGACTTCAAGAAAGCCAGGTGAAGGTAATAAAGGTATGAACACCTGTAATTTTTTTGTGGGTAGCCCAGCAGAAAGAAATAAACTATTGCCTTTTTTTCTGACTCTTCCTCCCTATATTAGGCAAGAAGGAACCCAGAAGACATTGTCTGACAACCTACCAGGCATATTAAGTTTTCAAAAAAGTTCTCTTACTCATGGCAAAGGAAGAGATAAAAGCTCACATCTGCTGTGCCACCATTTCACCCCACACGGGCATCAGTTCCCAGCAAGGTAGTCACTCTTTGTATTCTAATTACCATCTTTGACAATAGCAATCCCCAAAAGTCCATGTGAGCAGCAGCTGGTGGGTGGTAGGAAGGGTGCCCCATATCAGAGCATACCCCTCTGAAACCTAAACCCACTCCCGTACTTTTAAGTGGGTGGGCAATATAGATTCTCTGCTTCTATGGCATCCTCTATCCTCCAGGATTCTCAGCACCAAGTTCTAGGGTCACTCTTTCCATGGTCTCTAGGTTAAAGCCTCTTTGGTCACCCTAGGTACTTCTGACATCTTGAATTTCCCTGGCAAGTTTTATTGGCTGGTAGACTTAAGGCTATGGAATATAAACTTATTTATTAAAAATTGTATAGAAGAAGACAGGAGAGTATAAGCAGATCTACCTAATAAGATTGCAAGAGGCAGTGGAGGAGAAAATAAGTTTACCAAAAGCTTGGAGTGACCCAATTGAACAGATCATCCTGTAGCACTGAGGGCTCTTCTCACGCATAGATACTCTGAAATCTTTCCTCTTTCTGAGGCATTCGGTGGGCCAGTAAGCTCCCACCATGTGTTTACTTACACCAGTCAACCAGAGGATGGTTTGGTTCAAATTAAATTCATTAAACATCATAACAAAATAAGTGACAAAAAAGCTATTCCACACACACACATACATATGCACAGAAGGACTCCAACAGGTTACCACAAAAGCAGTAGGGGTAGGGTACACACACAGAGAACATGGATAATCAGAGAATACATATAAAAGGCTACATGTATAGACAATGTCCATGGTCAGAGAATATGCAGAACTAGGACAACTGATGAAAAAGATGTGTTGAAGTCATGCCCAAGAATAATGAGCATAAGATGAACTTGCCACTTTTTTCCCCCTAAACCTCTGATTACACTAACGTGTAAAAGGTCCCTCTTCTGTTATAGATGAACAATTCAACTGCAAATTTATAGTCTCTGAGATTTTCACATGGCACTAAGAGATTAAGTGACTTGTTCAAGGTCATACAGCTATCATGTGCCCAAAACAGTTCATGCTGACTCTAGGGTTGGTCCTCTATCCATCACCACAGGCAAGATATGGAGCAAAACATATCATTCAAGAAATGTAGGACTGGAAAAGGCAGAGGGTCAGTCATTTAGCTAGAGTGAGGGATAAGCAATGGACAGCTTGTATGCTGCATTAGAAGGAGGAAAACAAGCATTTACTAAGTGCCTCCTATGTGCTTAACTATATATATATATATATATAATATATATATTATATATATGTATATATAATATATATACTATATATATATATAATATATATATTATATATATGTATATATAATATATATATATATATATATATATATATTATATATACATATATATAATATATATGTATATATATATAATATATATATTATATATATGTATATGTAATATATATATGTATATATATAATATATATATATGTATATATATATAAAACTCTCTCTATATATATATATACTATATATATAACTACATATAGATAGATTAGATAGATAGATAGATAGATAGATATAAATAGTTTACAATTATGATCTCATTTGATCTTCACAACAAGCCTGGGAGGTAGGTGTTATTATTATCCTCATTTTATAGGTGAAAAAAACTGAGGCAGACAGAGATTAAGTGACTTGCCCAGGTTCACACAGCTAGTAAGTATCGAGGCCGGATTTGAACACACTTCTTCCTGACTAAGCCAGTATTGTATCTACTGCTCCAATAGCAAGAGACTTAGAGGAAATGTCCCAGAACAAACCCTCAGGAACAAATAAGCAAAGGATGCACAGATTGAGAAAGTGTTAGAAGGTGGGCAATGTGTACTATTGGAAGAAGTGCCCCTAATCAATGAGATCATATATACATTGATATAATGAAAAATACAGTCTACAAATATTATTATTAGGATCCTGTGTCCCCCTTCTCTCTACACTATCACGATTATGGAGGAAACAGGAGACTAAACAGGGCTGTGGAGCATTTTATGTTTACTTTGTTTCATGGGCTGCTACAGTCAAAGACTTCATCACCCAGTGGCCAGCCTACTGGTGAGGAGCATCTTTGTGTTTAGTTGAGGTGGTCCCCAGGCCACAGTTTCACATCAGGACTGTATGCAATTGTTGGTGGAGTTGTGAAATGATCCAACCATTTTGGAGAACAATTTGGAACTATGCCCAAAGGGCTCTAAAAATGTGTATACCCTTTGACCCAGCAATAGCACCTCTAGGGCTATATCCCAAAGAGACCATACAAATGGGAAAAGGATCCACACGTACAAAAATATTCATAGCAGCTCTTTTTGTGGTGGCAAAGAATTGGAAATTGAGAGGATGCCCATCAATTAAGGAATGGCTGAGCAAGTTGTGGTATATGAAGGTAATGGAATATTATTGTGCTGTAAAAAATGATGAACAGGCTGACTTCAGAAAAACCTGGAAAGACCTATATGGTCTGATGCTGAGTGAAATGAGCAGAACAAAGAGAGCGTTGTACACAATAACAGCCACGTTGTACGATGACTAATATTGATAAACTTAATTCTTTCCAGCAATACAAGGATCTAAGACATCTCCAGAGGCCTCATGATGGAAAATGCTATCCACATCCAAAGAAAGAACTGTGGAAGTTGAATTACTATTTTTTTCTCTTCTGTTGAATTTTGTTTCCTCTTTCTGATGGTTCCTCCTATTGGTTTTAATTTTTACTTACAACATCACTAATGTGAAAATACATATAACAGGAATGTAAGTGTATGTAATGTAAGCCTATATCAGATTGTGCACTGTCTTGGGGAGGGTAGGGGGAAAGAAGGGGGAGAAAAATTTTCAGCTCAAAAGCATATGGAAGTGATTGTTGATAAATCAAAATACATTAATAAAATAAATTTTCAAAAAAGGACTGTATGCAAAGCCCTCCCTGCAGAGTAGGACCTGCAAAAGCTTATAATTTGCCAGCCTAGCTTTAGAGAAGCCAAGACCACCTCCATACCCTAAAGAGTCTTTGGAGCCAGACATTCATAATCTATACATAGTCAAATAAACAGAAAGTAAATAAAAAGAGCTAGAGGGCACTAACAGCTTGGAAGATCAGAAAAGGCTTCATGGAGGAGGTAGTACTTGATATGAGCCTTGAAGAAAGGTCTTTGACAGGGAGAGATAAGGAGAATGTGCATTCCAGGCAGGGCAATAGCTTGTGTAAATACATGCAAGCAAATGATGGAATAAGTGTAGGGAATGGCTAATAAACTAATTTGCCTGGCTCGTAAAAATAAATTGACAGATTATTAATAATACCAGTGGTAATAACTGATATTTACATAGTACCTTGACATATGCCAAGGGCTTTCAATATATTAGCTAATTTGAAGTAATGGATTCTGGGCTTGTTGCCTAAAATCAAGGCTAATGTCTTATAATAGGATCAGGATCAGTTGGGGATTTCCCCCTCTTCTTTTTGCACCTAAGTATATGACTTTATCTCTATCTTCTTCAAATTCCATCTTGTAAGATTCTTAGTTTCTAGACTTCATAAAGACTCATTTGGCTATTATTACTTTAAATGTGAGATCTTCAGCTAATGATCTGAGTTGACATCAGAAGAAATGAACATTCAATTACTGATACTAACTTTTCTCAAACTCAGTTTCCTTATCTATAAAATGGGGAAAATAATAGCAGCTATCTCACAATTTGTAAATTTTAAGGTGCAATATCAATGTTAATTATAATTTAAATAATTATTGTTAATTAAAAATAAACATTATTAAATTATTCAAACTTATTATTATTTAAACAATCCACTTCAAGAAGTACAACATGTTTCTGGGAATGAATCTATTTGTCATTAACCCCTTTTCTAGATAATGCAACTATTATTTGGTGACCATCACTCCCTTGGTATAGTCCCCCAGGCTGGCATTTGCATGAAGGGCAAGTATCTTATTTGATTCTACATAAGCCAGTAGTGGCCCTATGTGAAACAGCTGATGAAGGTTTTGAAAGCTTCAAGCTTCTTTGTATCTGTCTACTCACTGTTCTCCAAATAGCTTTTGAGTTTTAACACAAATGGGCCTGCCTTGGCCTTCTGCTTCTGATCCTCTTCAATTATGTAAACGCAAGTGAGATCACTCAGTGATTTAGCAATAGAAACATAGTTTGTTTTTGTTTGTTTGTTTGTTTTTTGGTTAGGCAATGGGGTTAAGTGACTTGCCCAGGGTCACATAGCTAGTATTATATGCCTGAAACCAGATTTGAATTCAGGTCCTCCTGAATCTAGGGCCAGTGCTCTATCCACCGCAACACCTAGCTGCCCCTAGAAACATAGTTCTTCATAAATTTGTGATATTAATTGTCATATTCTAGAAAAGAAAGTCCTTAGATACTGAAGGTTCTGTGGATGTGTCCAGATCACTTCTGTCTTCTATGGGGAGACGCTCACATCTTGTCGTGATACTATGTGATCCTACTACTGTTTGTCCTTCATTTTCAAAGAGTAGCAATGATGTCTTGACTTGAGCATGAATTGGATTTAAGTGAGGCAGTGTTACACAAAGTCATCGACCTCACTCTCTCTTCCAGAGTCATTAAAGTCCAATGGCAGGACAAAAGTCAAGGCAACTGATGACGGCCCAGGATGAAGTCGTTGACCTTGACAACTCTGATGCCTGACCAAGCTCTCAGCATTCCACAGTGCCTGCTTCAGCCACCTTTGTGGCCATTGGAGCACATTGTTCTCATCCTCCCATTCTGCTGGGGAAATCTCCACGTGTTTGGGATAGACATCCTACTAATTCATCAATGAGTCTGTAGCCTATAAGTTACTTTCAATCGGGTTTAACCCATCTGCTAAAACAGTTTTACCAGGGTGTGGCTGCTGGGCATGCTACAGCTTCTTGAAGCCACAGGTGAGAGTGTGACCCACAAAGTTGTCAGAGTGTCTCCAAAACTGGCACTTGCCGGTGGAAAGCTTCAAGCCATTTTTATTTAGCTGATCCAACACTTTCATAGTCTCTTCTCATGTTCTTCCAGAGTCTTCCCAAAGATAATGATGTCACCAAGACATGCCAACATTTCTAGGTAGTTCATGTTGCCAATTACTTTTTCCATCAATTTTTGGAAAGTGATAGGAACTTGAGATGCCTTGGAACATTCACGGCATCTGGTAAAATCTCACATCTATATAAGGTCAATGTTCAAACATGAATATGAATTTCTCAAGAATAGGAGGTATGGATTCATTGCAACATACACCACTGGATGAAGTACCCATATGGATAAGATCATAGACATATTGAAGTATTGATGTTAAATATTGAAGAATTATTTAATTCCCATGTATCTTTTGCCACTATTTCATTATAATTAATTGACTCAATCAAGCAGTATAGAAATTGGAAACTCCTAGATAAAATAACTGACTTAGATAACTCAAAGGATTTTGATCTCATTAATTGAGGCTCTCCCTCCACCAGTGTGGTCAATCAATAAACATTCATTAAGTCCCTACTATGTGCCAGACACTGTGGTAAGTACAGGGGATAAAAAAAGAGAAGAAAAAGACAATCCCTGCTCTCTAGGAGCTCACAGTCTAATGGGAGATGCAACAATCAAATAATTACGTATGAAAAAGCTTTACACAAAATAAATTGGAAATAGGCAACAGTGGGAAGGCACTAGAATTAAGACAGATCAGAAAAGGCTTCTTGCAGAAGGTAAGATTTGAGCTGAGACTTGAAGGAAGCCAGGGAAGCCAGGAAGTAGAGATGAGGAAGAAGAATAATCCAGGCATAGGGGACAGCCAGAGAGAATACCCAGAGATGAGAGATGGAGTGTCTTGTTTGTGGAACAGCAAGGAAGCCCACGTCAGTAGATCAAAGAGGTTTGGGGCAGAGACATAAGAAAATATAAGGAGACTGTAAAGGGAGGAGTAAAGATTATGAAAGACTTTGAATGCCAATTAGAAGATTTTATAGTTTTTTCTTGGAGGTGATAGAGAGTCACTAGAATTTACTGAGTGAGGTGGGGGGGTGGCATGGTCAGACCTATGCTTTAGGAAGGTCCCTTTGACAACTGAGTAGGGGATGGATCAGAGTGGGAAAAGAAATAGCCTAGGCATTAGTGATGAGGGCCTGCATCATAGTGGTGGCAGTGTCAGAGGAGAACAGGCATATGGAAAAGATATTATAAAGATAATAGCAACAGACCTTGGACACAGATTAGACACGGGGAGGGAAAGAGTCTAGGTTGACTAGGTTGCTAGCCTAAGTGATTGGGAGGATGGTGGTGTTCTTGACAGTAATAGGGAAGTTACGAATGGAGGAAGTATTGGAGGAAAGATAACAAATTCAATTTTGGACATTTTGTGTTCAAGGTGTCTACAGGAAATCCAAGTCAAGATGCCTAATAGGTATTGGTGATGCGAGTCTGGGGTCAACAGGGAGGTTAGGGCTAGATAAGTTGATTTGTAAATCATTAGCATAGGAATGATAAAATCTATAGCAGCTGAAATGAGACTGAAAAAGAGTGGTCTGAAAGGTAGAAGGCAAACCAAGGGAATGATATCCCAAAAACCTAGAGGAAAGAGAGTATCATGAAGAATAGAGTGACCAATAGTGTTAATCACATCTCATCTTGTGCAATTTATTATGCATGCATTTCCTAAAATTCTCCATGGAGGATTCACACAGCTTTCCTCTAAATGGAAACCAGTATAGCATTCAGGCTGTCCATGTAACATTCCTCATTCTCAATATATTACTAGTGTATCTCCTTTTCCAGTCACAAATGTCCTTGATGATATATTTTATGTTTTTGCATACAAGTCATTCTGGTAATCTATTGTAGTCATATGGCACCAATTTGAATATTTACATGACCTTTCGGTCATCTCCAATTTTAATTCTCCTGGATTCTGAAGTATGATTCAAAGCAATATTAAATTCTAATTAAGATTAAATTCTAATATTGTGTATTAGAATTTAAAATATAGGCTATTGTAGTCATCAACAGTTTAGAATCTCTAAAACAACTGGATGGATTCCTAAATGTGATTATGTTGTTATTCTTCCTTCTACTACTAATCAATTCTGGGCCCAGATCATTGACTATCTATGGCACTTATACAAGATACATATGTATGTATAACAGTCCACCCACCCAACCACACTGTATAAACTGCAATAATTATTCTCATCCACTCTATTTTTCTAGTACGGATGGTCAGACCAAACTCTTTTATATTTTTATTTATTTCACTGAAGGGGCTTTGTAATGGTTTGAGGCTAAATACAATTGGCAGAATGTCTTCTGCAATATATGCATATATGTGAGTGTCTGTATGTATGTGTATATATGTTCATATATACATGTTTGTATACATACATATATATATATATATATATATATATATATATATATATATATATATATATATATATAATTTGGAAAGCCTTATCAATGGGGAATACCTCTTCCATTTGAATTCTATAAAGGAAATTCTTCATGAAAATGACTACATACAGCCTTCCACACCTACAAATGATATACTGATAAACATGACAGGTAAAAGTGCATCTCCCTGTTTTATGACT